CATTAACGATATACAACCGGCTCAACTTAAAAGGTTTAGGCTAAATTTAAATGCGACTCGTAAATAATGTTTCTATCCGGATATTACATAAATTTAAAGGGTTCGTAATATGGGTTACCGTTGCCCTACTAAAGTTAAAGTGACAGTTATGGACAAATTTCTATTTATAATAAGATTCGCGTTTTATTTGTCCAAAATAGTATGTTGTCCAAAATAGTATGCTCGTAACACCATTTTCAGTCCAAGTCATCTTTTAAAATATTCGAAAAAATCAAGAAGAATCGTGTAAAAGAGATATTATAACATCAGCGAACGGGCCATAACAAACAGCAATTCAATCTCAAGATCAGTTCAATCCACAAGAGTTTTGAATCATAAAATCATTAACGATATAAAACGTGGCTAAACTTAGAAGGATTAAGCTACATTTAAAGAATACTTAATAAAGGAGACCGCTACGTGGAACGTGGATAAAGTGATAGCTCTGGATGAAGCCACGTTTTATAAGATCATTTGAAATATTACAATATTCGCGTCTTTTTGTTTAGAAAGATAAAGTCGGTAACAAAACAGTCATATTGATCGTAACGATATGGATAGAGTCTATAGATAGAGTCTCCGATAGACTAATAAAAATGGAGTATGTCGCCAGTTGAAGAATAAATATCATAACATCAGCTACCGTACCATAACAAACAGCAATTCAATCATAAAATCAGCGGATCAAGAGCTTAGGATGGGGATTGACACGAACAAGATATTCTCTTAACATGAACATAAAGTTTTCGCTTGTTCAAGGTCTCGCAACTTAAAAAGATTAATTGCTTTCGAGCAAAAGTAACGCACTGTTCGAGAAAGAAGTGTCTGACTCCTACAGCTGTGCGTGACCCCGTCCAATCAAGATCACGTGACCCTGTCAGATCACGTGTTACACTCTTTTCAACATGTCACGTGACCATCCCTTTCAGCTATAAAAGGGTTCTCGACAAGCCTGACAAGACCTTCCCAACGATCGTGCAGTTGTTGAATATGCAAGCTTTACAAGTTTTCCTAAAATAGATCAAAACTACTGTCAGATCAGCGGTGCGAGAATCTAAATCTGATATTATATCTAAAAAATGCAGAAAATGCACATGAAAAATGCGGATAATGTAAGTCGGAGTTACCAATAGACCAGACACTTCATTAAGCTTCATTTTGAAAGGTTAAATATTTGTCTACCCAACCTGTTTACAAACCCCTACACAACATGATATTAACATACCCTCTCCTTAAATTACGTTTTACTGGGATAGACCTCCGTTGTGTGCACTGTGCTGTTAGACGATGTTGATTATGATTGAGGTTTAAGCAACTGCTTCCGACCTTATCAAATTCTAGAACTGTCTGACGAAGATAATTTCATGGGATCGTCACTATTACTATGGTTACTAGGGTTACCAGGGTTACTGAGGTATGTGGACCACGATAATAACAACTGCACCATACTGGCAAGACCAAAGAAATTGTGAAGATTAAATCTGACGAACAAAGAAGAGGTGGGTCTTGTGAATTTTGATTGTCTAGACAAAATCTCGAGCAAAATCAAAGATAATGCACTTCCTGGGATGAGTCAGGCTCAGCTGCACAATTCAATCAATGCAATCATATACACCATCAGATATATTGGCAGATAGTACTGCAGAATTACTTAACTTACTTTTATTAAATCGGTATTACGCAAAGGCACAGAAGTTTCTTGTTTAATGGGAGATATAATTCTGGACCCAGCAGGATCAGGGTACAGGGTTCTGCATAACCGGAGCCGGAAACTCAGTGGATGGTACTGGTACTGAGTTAATAGGGCACCGCCGCGTAAATAGGGGGTTAGATCAATAGCTACACTTATATTTCAGCGGCATTTCAAGTCTCGGACGTGAAAAGTATGGCATTGATTTTCTTTAAACTGACCATCAAAGATGCTCCGAATCTAGTGTAAATACAGCCCGTCAAATATAAGGACCGATATTAAATTAAACAGCTGAAGTTAAACAAGTATTAAGATTTTATGGTATTTAGAGATTGTTTGTGTTTCTGTGGCTAGGATTGGAATCTTTTATTCTAGTAGCATCTAACGAAGAATTTCAGAAATGTTAATAAGAGAAGGAAATATTCCTCTTGGAAGTGTGCACAATGTACTGCAGAATGTGATGCACATTACGGAGAGTGCCTTCTTAGCTTGCACTTGTGTAATAGAGATCCTTCACATGTTATTTAAGGGGGAAAAGCTAGTTCCCTTGTGTAATTTCTACACAATAACTGAGTTTAAACTGGCTTGGGGAGAGGGAGGGAGTTTAAAATTACCAGGAAAATGGTAAGTAAATAATATGTAATATTATGTGAACGGTCCCTTACTACACTATTTCTGTTTGATCCTATACGAAATGGCTTCTTGAAATATTCCAGTACAATAAATGTGGGTATGGTGGGGTTTTGGTTTTGAATATGATTTTTTAATATATGTGTAACGTCATGGCCTCCCTTCCATTACACACATGTGTATACAGGGGAATAGATTTTAGAACATAGATCAAATTACAGTCTCGACTCTCGAGATTAACTATTATATATATGCAGACCTATTTTCCCATTTAATTGACAATCCAAGTAAATCGGGATTTGATTCTGCACTAAATACATGAAATCAGTAGTCGATGACTAGACAGGGTTAGTTTGGAAATTGGACCAGCTTACAGTTGGGCTAACGAATTATAAAATGTTGGGTTTAACGAACATCTAACTGAAATAATATATAGATTGGATTCAAAGAAAATATAACAAATTTACCAGGAGTGACAGTAGCTGTATTAAATTATTTAAACGCTGAATTTTATTCAAATACTGCAATACTGGCTGACAAAGGTTTGGTTGCGCAAGCCAGACTCTCTAGCTAACTAACTAAACTCTTTTAATAGCAATTAATAACATTTAAACGAGCTGATTAATCTAATTAATCTAATAATATTCTTTAATATACGGTAAGATTGACTTGTAGGAATATTACCATCTGAAAATGGATAAATTATAACATAGTCATTCTTCTAATCGTAAAGTGTAACGTAAGTGAACATTATTTCGGTAAAAGTTTAATGTAACTGAACGGGTAAATATTAAATAAGCTCCTTAAAATAGAAGGCAACAGTAGAGTTATTAATATTAAAGGCTGTCAAGTGTCAAGTTGCACATCAGTCGAACTTTCGACGAAATCATACATACAATTCTTGTAAATTACACGAAGAATATTCTAATCTATCTTTCGTTGAGGCATGCGTGACATATTGACCTTGCTTGTTTCTATACTCCAAGAAGATTGTTATAATTGTGATAAATCTTGACAATTAATTGCTGACAATAATTAACGCAGTCGAATTAGTATACCAATAGGTAACGTTATTTCACATAAACTGTTTGGCAGATCGCCAGATCTCCAGATGGGTCTAATGTCTAGCTTTTAGTAAATAGTACATTTGTCCAGGGTACAACGTGTGATGATAAGGTGACCTGTGTACTAGGTGTATATATTATCTCTAAATCCATTACTAGACCAGTCATTGTTGTGTGCCACATAACAACAACTCTCACATCTTTATAACAACTCTCTGCTGTATTTAACAGATGTTATATTTAACAGCTTACATCAAGTCACCGCCCGCTCAGAGCTTTGTTCAGACTGCTACATTGCTACAAATACTATCTGCCAGATCTATAACATATTGTCACAGTGACACTATTGCAGTTCCAGACTATTGTTCCGTGTAATAGTCAGTCCTTATCAGGACATCTAGATCCTGGAAGGAGGGGGAACTATTTGATACTACTCACAATTATACTAGATCAGAACTATGTTTCTCACACCTTCTTACAGCTTAGTGTACTTCTAGCTTCTCAGAGAGCTACTTATACATCAGAGTAAATATTATACACTAATGTATACTGAGAACTAATTGTACATTAATGTATACTGATGTACATAACGTTCAACACATTATTATGTAACTCCGTACTTGATACAATACCACTCTTGGTTTTAATTAAATATAAAAACAGCTGTTCAACAAATATCTGTGGTAGATCTTGTCTCACGTTGCGACCTCAACTATTTTTCAAATAGCTAGATCTGCGGTATATCTGCGGTAATCATGTTTAATTTCATCACAGATCTCTTGACCAGAGATCTTGTACACGAACAAGGTGGTCAGTGTATAGCGTGTACAGATTACAATGTACCACAAGGTGTACATTGTACATAATATCTTAACTGTACACAGTGTTACATGTGTCACTACTAGGGTAAACCTGTCAATTGTCGCTATTCAGTTAGTATAGATAGTTGTAACTAAAGGAAGCCCTTTTAGCTGAATAGTTTTAATTAAAATTAGTAGTCTACTAAGGAGGAGAATAATATGTAAATTCAAGGAAATGTTCGATTTCAGAAAATAGTAGGTATTCGTACCTATAGCACTTTGTCATTATGTCAGATTAGATATCGTTATTATATTAGTAAGAATCTGTCACTTTTCGTCAAACTCTTTCCGTGGCCGTACAATAAATCATTGCATCTACACACTACACTATACACTACACTATACACTACACACTACACACTATACACTACACACTACACACTACACACTACACACTACACACTACACACTACACACTACACACTTCACACTACACACTACACACTACACACTACACACTACACACTACACACTACACACTACACACTACACACTACACACTACACACTACACACTACACACTACACACTACACACTACAATAGTAATACACAGCAACTGGACGAAAGCCAGTATCTCACTCAGTCGTAGTCACAGTGTTGTCTAATGCTGTTCCCTTATTAAAGTGCATCGAATTATCTTTTGTTGTTGTCATGGGATCAGTCAAATTTGATAATCTAAACCCATGATGAGGGATAACACACAAAATAGCACATACCTGATGAAACGAGAGTATATGAGACTGGCACCTTCGTAGTTAACCATCCAGAGAAGGAATGCACACTTGATGAGAGAGTAGAAGGGGATCCAAAAGAGAAGATAGTCACCGAAGAATTCCAGGATACCGAAATAGCTGGGGAGATGGATTTTAAGTACGGCGCGAGGGCTTTACTTAGACGTTTCTACTTAGAGGACGCGAGTGTTAAAGCTAGATTATGAGGTGGACCTGCTAGGTGACGTGGATACACAGCTAGATTTACTTATCCTCATAGCCTCCAGCTCCGGTCGGTGGGTTCATACTTTCTGATGTAAAGATATCACATGATTGATTATCTCAGAAAGGATCACTTGGGGAGTTGGGGCCCTCACTTCCACTTTCAGGACGCCAGCAATTGTTGAAGTTAGCCCATGAGGTGACGTGGCTAGGCCTGAGTAGACCCTTACACGTCACTTCTGCGTGGCTAAATTGATCTTTGTACGTGGCTCATGCTAGGAGGGTCTTCTATTTTCCGTTCAGATTATTTGTAGATCTAACGGAAGATTATAATGTTGCAACAATGGGCGTCATCTGCTCGGCTTTTCTTCAGTTCAGATAATTTGTGATGATTTCCAAGAAAATGATATTGTCGCAACATTGGGCGTCCTATTCACATAGTGTGTAAAGGGCATTGAACGTTGCAAATAATCTAGCGATACGAAGCACCATCCCTACACAAAACAGGGAGAGTGACTCTGGCAGCGCATAGCAGTGTTGAGCTGCTAACTTTGTAAAGATAGAGGAGACCGAAATAAGGATCTACCTTTCCAGATAAAATATTTCCTTGTGTTTGACATAAATTACCTGTAAACAATCCAGTATGTGAGCCACTGAGTGTCGTCACGAGTATCAGCACTCTCTACAGCTTTGAAGGAAAGATAAGCGGGGAAGACGAATCCTATGAAGTCACAGAGGAAAGGTGCACCGTATCCGATAGCTAACCACACTGCTGTGAACGCAATCACTCCCATTATCAGGTTCACCTTGCTCACCTGGAAGTGTTAGTTAACAGGAGTTAGTGTTAAATAAACAACAGTGTTAGTGTTAAATAAGGAGTTAGTGTTAAATAAACAAAATTGTTTGTTGGTGATAAATTGGGGGTTGAAACATAATTCAGATTTAAGTTCTGACGCGGGATTATCAAGGCTTTTTGCAATTTGCATGGTAGTGTTGTTATTTTAAGTTTGCTAATGAGATGCAGAAGGAGAAACATAACGTTAATTAACACAAGGAGGATATTAACCCAACGTATATTCTATTTGGTAATCAGGTGAAATAAGGGCTTTATTTAGCTGCATCGTTACTTCATAGCCTAGCTTCACGGGTAATTCCATCTCGTAAATAAATTAACCAGACCTAACGAACAGGCTTTGGTTATTTCTTGCTAATAATTCATAACCAAATATATTAGTTTCACATTAATTTCACTAGTTACTGCTTACAAATACATTAGTTTCACTATAGTTACTGCTTATAAGTAGTGGAGGTACTCTCAGTTATGTAACTATGTAACTACTTATTAAGCATTATTACATCAGTTCAACTCTACAGTCAAAGTAATACCAATAACCTGTGCACGTGTGCACGTGTAACGCACAGTGTGCACGTGTTACGCTTGTAACATTAACAATGGACCTCCTGGATCTGCACGTTCTGTACGTAATAATAATACACGCATATTAATTGCTTGTATGATGTAAGAATTTGCTTATATATAACACAATAATGGCTACATCTAATAGCGACTCTAGGATACTTGTCCATGTTGTATGAGTTATGCAATATGAAAATGTAGATTTGCCCACTTTTGGTTGTCAGCAAAGTAAGTACAAGATAATTCAATTAAATTGTTCTGCAGAAAATAGTGGAATTCTTGTAAGGTGTGTTCCTGACGTCTGTGCATAGTAGAAATATAAATGTTTTAAATAGGTCATGTATCGTGTTCACATTTTTCGTACATTTTCTCTGTAAAATCGAGCTTAACAAGTGACCATGAAATTCACTCGTTGAGTTCACTATAACTTAACTGATTAATTAAGCAAACCGTATATGTTCGCGAATAAAATAGAATACAATAGAATGAAAGACGTAAGGAAGATTCTGGATTTTATAAAACGGCTCTGATATTTGAAGCATCTCTTACGCTGTAATTTAAATAATTCAGCTGAATTAAGTCGACCACTAGCTTCTAGAATATATAATATGGTGCATCTACCAGTTCTAGAGATGAATAAATCATGTGTACACCTGACACCATGACTACTTGAGCACTTGCGCATAATATCAGATTGACCCCATAGATATTCTCCAATCTAGCAATTTCATTTCTGTATAGTGTATATTCTTCAAAAGTAGCACTCTAAGGCTAGATTGGTATTATATCCTGATTGCATTACAAAAAGCAAGGGCACACTACTAGTGTCCAGTGAAGGATATTGTTTGGTATAATAACAATACTTTCTACAATTGCCACACAATAATATTATCTCAGTTCTAAATAAAAAGTATTCTCAGTGTTGTTAGAAGTACGAGTGAGCTATGTATGAGTGAGCCGTGTATGAGACATGCTACGTCAATAAGTGACAAATTTCAGCTAGTACAATATCACAGTAAAACATTGTCAGCTCGTACTGGGCATGCTAAAGTATAAACGGATGGTGGTTAGATCCAGAATATTAGAGTTTTACGTGGTAACTTGATAGTTTCCCAACTCGAGGTTGGCTGGAGTGCCCAAGATAGGTAACATGTAAAGATGGATCATATTCAAGTGTAAAAGTGCCGATTACAGGGACTTTACTAATTGATACAGTCAATCTTGCAGATTAAGCTTATAATCTAATTATGAACAGAGAATCTAAAGGACTGATCATCAGCTCAGATCGACTATGTAACAAAAAATAGGACAATTAATCTTATCGAGGAGTTAAAGGACAAAGGAGCCACAACAGGAGAAACAGGACTTTTTGTATTAACAAACTTACTGTATTGACTTGCTATTTTGTGTGTTCTTGAAGCTTCTCATTAAAAACTTCGTGTTGGTCTAAATACAATTGATGGATCTCACATACCTTTGTAGCATTTGAAGCTTTCCCTACGAGTTCATCGACAGCAGGATATTTCACCAGAAATTTCTCAATGGACGATCTGCACTTCTCTACATGGGCAGCCATCACTACAGCTATTAAGAGAAATGTTATTTATAGTCGGTTTGGGAATAAATATATAAATTAAAGAATGAAATCTTAAACCACATATCACATTATTTAAATTTTGCAGTCTATAATGAATGGTATTTATTAGATTCGAAATGAAACTGTTCCCCAAAGACAATACTGTTAACTGTACAGTACAATTTAACAACAATTTGTACCATATATATCGAGTAGCTTCATATTGCACGATTAACTCAGTTGTAAGAATATCACCTTAGTACTTTTTTATTTGAAAATTCAATTAATCATTATATATATAAATCAAGCGTTACATTTCAGCCATGCAAAAATACAATGACATATTTTGATATACTAAATGGTAAATGGTACTGCAATATAAGTTGCTTAATGTATGGCCGGATGACAACTAACGAGAAAAATAAACTTGATTATATAATAATTAATTCGGCTGAACCAACACATAGCAAGAGCCACATTAACGTTGGGGCCGTCTACCAAATTTGAATGACAAACATTAACAAGAAATCAAACATATCATAAATAATTATAAGGATTTTGTTCATTACAATTCCGTCACAACTGATAAAGAAAAAAGAAAAGGACAAGCAGATAGGAAATTGGACGGACAGAATTGTAACCAACAAAAACAAATTTCTGAGACTCATAAGACTGATGAGCTAATCTGGCCAGACTGTATCGGCAGCCCAGAGGTACTTGATCAGTTTGGCCTTAAAAGTAGAAATCCGCTCTGACTGCCGGATACATACTGGTAGACTATTCCATTTCAGCATAGATCTATGAAAAAAGCTATTTCGGAAGGCATCCGAGCAGGGCACAGTGGTACTCATGTAAGTTGAAGTATCCGACATATCAATTATTTGAGCATTGTGCCTAGTGTATCGGGTGCCCTCTGGACGGCATAGGACTATATATGTAGGGAGCGAAACTGGAATTATGCTATTCACTATTTTATAGAAGGTCATAAGATCGTTATAAATAAACTTCTGTTTAACAGGGAGAATATTTAGTTTCTTTTGCTCTGTAGCAAGTTTATCGTCATTATAACTGGAGTAAGGTTCACCATTGATCCATTTAATAGCCCTCTTTTGGATAGCAACAAACTGTTGAAGATGAGTTGCAGATTGAGGGGACCATATGACAGAACAATGTTCAAATATAGACCTAATTAACGCTAAATAGAACGATCTTTTCTGCCTTTTATCAGTAGTGAAATGACATGTTCTCTTAAGTAGTCCAAGTCTAGAGGTAGCTTTGGAAACAAGCGCTTTACATTGTGCACCCCAATTAAACCTGGAGTTTATTGCGACTCCTAAATCTGACTGAGAGGGCACAAAGTCAATATCACTTCCAGAAAGTTTATAAAAGAAGGTATTGAATGGCAAGTTATCCAGCACGTTTCTTTGCAGGGACACAGAGAGGGCTTTGCACTTTTGTGGGTGGAACTTCATTCGATTTCTCACTGACCAATCATATAATCTGTTGATGTCATTTTGGATTATGTGATGGTCAGGGTAACCAAGGATCTCCCTCCAAATTTTAGTGTCATCTGCATAAAGGGCGATATTGGTGTCTTCAGACACACAGGAGAACATGTCATTTATAAATATTACAAACAATAAAGGGCCAAGTATAGAACCTTGAGGGACACCAGACCGAACTGGTAGAGAAGAAGATGTTTGGCCTCCTATCACTACTTGTTGTTGTCGCCCCTCAAGATAGGACTTAATAAATTTAAGCATTAGTCCATCGACATTAAAAATATTCTTTAATTTACTTAAAATGAGGTCATGCGAAACGCTATCAAAAGCTTTCGCAAAATCAAAATATATTATATCAGTCCTGGACCTGTTATTCAATGCAAGTGCAAGATTGTCCGTGAAAGGTATCATTTGGGTTGTGCATGAACGTTCATTAACAAAACCGTGTTGTCGGTCATCCAACAGATCAGAACATGCAGCGTATAATGCAGTCTTTATGCACCTTTCAAAGACTTTCATTACAAGAGATGTTAACGAGATAGGCCTGTAGTTCTCAACCGAAGACTTATTGCCCTTTTTGTGCACTGGTACTACAAGTGCCAGCTTCCAATCAGGGGGTATGCATCCGCTCGAGAAAGACAGGTTAAATAAAACACTAAGTGGGTATGCAAGGCTTTGGGCACAGTTTTTGAGGACTCTCCCATGAATCCCATCAGGGCCAGGGGCCTTGTTAGGATTTAACTTTTTAAGAATCAACAGAACATCTTCTCTACTAAACACAAGACTTGAAAAACAATCATCACGAAAATCTATGTCAATGCCATAATCGCTCTCTTGAGAAAACTGCTCATAAAAATATTCGTTAAAAAGGGCAGCTTGATCAGATGGATTGTTTCGAAAGCGATTATGATATTTGACAGTTTCAGGGATCCTGGTTGACTTTGATTTAGATTTAACGTAGGTCCAGAATTTCTTGGAGATAAGAGCATCATCGGAATCATCCTCAACACTGAGTCTCATTCTTTCGAAACTGCACGAAACTTTTGTTTATGAGACTCAGAGTTGCTCCCCTTATGCCTTATTCTCCACTAATACTACTAGTACTTTTTCTCCAGCAAGACTAAAATTACACTTCTACAGACAATTTCACTGGCCGCACTCTCGAAAACGAAAGAAAAAACTGCCTTTGTGGTCCTTGAATGTGCTCCTAAGTAAGGGGGACTAAAAGGTTGTAACTCAATACCCAGTGAGTCCATCACATTAATTGTCCAACACATCGGACATTGTCTGTTATTTAGTGTTGTTTAATTACTGCCACTATTTATCTTGATTTGTTTAAATACAAGCAGAGTTTGAAAGTGCTTCTCACTATGCTGCATAATAACAACTGCACAATCAGGGGGAAACAAGACAATACAGAGCGATATATCCTGATAGCGTATCTGACTACAGTACTTGTTTCCTCCTTAGTTGGAGACACTATCATTCTGATAGCATAAATACAGTAAAAAGCTTTGAAACTGAACAAGATCATAGTCGCTGTAATCCAACACATGGCTGTATGTAACTTGGTGCTCTAACTTGCCAACAAGCTACCTACAATTATATCAATGACTTCCCAGGCTTGGGTCCTTGGCGACACATTGGCCATTGGAGAGAAGTTACTTCCATATGCCGCATTTCGAGTGAGCAAAAAGTTTATTTGTGTGTTGACGAGTAGCAAGTTACTACTTTAAACATCTCCTCTCAAAACAAAGACCTGGTCGAAAAAAACAGCACATCTGGTTTGCACACTTTTCTGGGAAGCTGGCGTGGACTCTCTTATAACACTAATTTCAAACATGATGATGGTGGTTTTCAGCTGCACAACATAAGATAATCAGGAACAGAGTATCCAGAGTGGTATTCCTTCTTTGGTGAAAGGCTTTGTGAGTTCCATGTGTATAATAACAGTGTTGATAACCACTGTCTTACCTTAAGATACGTTTGTTACGCCAGGAAAGTAGCATATAGGGCAAGGAGATCACTGGGCATGAATCTACAAGGAGTAGTAACTGTGGTTCTGACTGGTGTACTGTGTTTCTATGTATGTAATGCTCCCATACGCTCTGTCCTACACAAGAAATTTTTTTTAGATTCAGAGGCCACATCATGCAGCTGGGAGCTGGAAAAACTTGCTGAGTACAGTAAAACCCTGATTTACCGCGGTGTCTGGGGAAAAGGAAACATCTGCGGTTTACATTATACATGTGAAGCCCTATTTGGGGAAAGGAGATGGCTGCGGTATATCAGGATTTGCGGTAAATCAGTTATTGGGGCGCGGTAAATCAGGGTCTTACTGTACTTGCCCAGTGTGAACATAATGTCCAACTTTTTCATTTACAGTCTCTCAGTACCAAGCTTTCGAGCTTTTATTTGCTCTAAAGTGCTAATAATACAACAGATTGTTACCGGCTCATGTATCACCAGGGTAATAATTGATCAGAAAGAAGGAGAGGGTTTGTGATGTAGTTAGACATGTGAGAAGTAAAACAAAATTTAAGTAAAACAAAATTTAAATTTATTGCCATTACAATGAATAATGATATCATAATAAATTTAAGTAAACATCCGATAATAAACTTGTTAGGTCCAGTTGCAGTACAACCCAAGACATGTCGGCCGACTAACAAAATTAAAAAATACAAAATAAAAATTAAAAAAAGCTTACTTAGGCTTAGGCTGTACGGAAATAGCTTTAATTCTACGAGAACGAGAATAAGGTTTGCAATTTTGAGGACATTTTGCTCTACGTGGGTACAGAGGAAAGAAGATGGACAGCAAACATGAGACCCCTCTTTCAGAAGTCTCATACTGTTAAGTTGCTTTATATCACTAATTATGTATTTCCCAGGGCTTTGCTGTATAAGCGTATGACTTGATACTGTATGACTTGATATGATTCTTTACTACCTTTTCATATAACAACGGTGTAGTTACTGGTACCAATACCTAAGGTTAACAGTGGTTGCAGGAAGTGTGAAAATGTCAAAGCAAAACGTCATCCCTGCCAGTGGCGTAACGTTGCCTGTTGGCGCCCCCTGCCGAAAAAAGCGCCCCCCTGTTGGCGCCCCCTCCCCTTTTGGTGCCCTCCCTAAAATTGAACAAATTAGGTGATTTTAGAGAATACGCCGGTAAAATATCTAAAAAAGTGTGTATCTAGAGCAAAACGCGCAGTTTTGCTAGTACTTTAGTTAAGTTTTCGAAATTGTCCCACTTTCAAACGACGATTTGGCGCCCCCCTAAGACGGCGCCCCCCTGCACAGCGGGGTCAGCAGGGCCTTTCGTTACGCCACTGATCCCTGCCCTGATGATGGATACATGTATTGCAATTTGTGCTCTGCCAATTGCGACACTTGATTCGACTGTGCTTTGCCACTTGCATCACTTGATTTAATTGAATGTATACAGGGTGTTTCAAGAAACATACTGTTTGAAACTGCAAGAAACAGAAATTCAAACAATA